CTAGCTGCTGCATTTTTTACTTTTTAACACAGCTTTAACTATGCATTTCATTCTAATTTAAAATTAAAAGGAAATATTATGCATAAAGTTAATTCAACTTCCTTTTTTCTTAGATAAAATGCTTCTTTGCTCCTAACTTTTTTTTGGGGGGGGGGGGCTATTCTATCTAATTGTTTTCTTTGAAAAAAACAAAAAAACAACTTGACTCTCTAACACTAGCGTTCTCTATTCTTAGAGTGCTTTCACATATAGTTCGTTTTAAAAGAACCAAACCCAGTTCACTTAAAGTGAACCAGAAAGGGAACCAGTTGAAAGTGACCTCTGTCCTTTTGGTATTCACAATATATGTGGACTCAAAAGAGAACCCAGTTTTTTTTTTTTTTTTTTGGTGTTCTTCAGCACTGAAGTGATCTCAGATCCTTTCTTGTTCACACCACAATTTCATAAGAACTCAGGCCCCAGCTTTCTGTGCAGCAGTGAAATGCTGGAGTCTGATGTACTGGAAAACATGGAAGATGAAGTGGACAGGAAGGGGGTTATGAAGAGCTGGCAATCCCTGATCATGTCACCGGTCAAGACATTTGCAGAGCTTTAACAACCCATTTCAAAATTAAAAGAGAATATTATGTATAAAGTTATTTCAACTTTCTTTTTTTCTAAGACAAGTTAAGATAAGTTACAGTTGTAAAATGTTTCTGTGTTCCTGACTTTTTTTTTTTTTTATTCACAATAAGCTGTATTTCATTGTTCAGTTTTAGAAATTATTGTTTTTTGTTGTTTTTTTTTCTAAAGAATTGTAAAATAGTATACCATGGTCTGGCTGAATACTTCTGAATGGCTGGCAGGATTGCATTTAAACCTTTTAATGCAAGTTATGCAACAAATTACAACTACTCACATTACTGTAATTAAGTCGTTTTTTGGGTACTTGTACTTTAATGAGTATATTTTTAAGTCTGTAATTTTACCCCAACAACAGGTTGACATGCATGCAAGGCCAAAAAGCACTTTCATTGTCTTATAATATGCTTTTTCCCCCCTTTTTTTGCTCAACGACTCCCAAACGGTTTGCTCAACGATTCATTTTTAACCCCTCCTTTGCGTGACGCTAAACTGCGGTGATTGGTCTGATGACCCAGTCTGTTGTGATTGGTCTACTGCTTGCAGCGCATGTCAATAACAGAACGCCCATCACCATTACTTAGACCACAGCTCGGTGGTAAACACCCAAACAACCATGGTATATGCGTTAGCCCAATGCAGAAACATATTGATGAAGCACTGCGGTTTGTACACCAACGTATTGCTTCTTTATCAGAACTCAAAGTAATAACAACGACAAACATTCACTATTCATCGACACATTTCTAGACAATTGCGAGCGAACAGATATTGCTGTTAGCTGGTTAGACGGAGACCTACAAGCTGCGTTGAGCGAACACAACACACACAACTAAATACGTATTTTGCATGCTACCGTGCAGAGTACATGACAGCAACAGTCTTTAAAAGAATTACTCTGCTTTCAAAATAAAAATGTCATCCAAGATGTTCATGTCTCTCTTTCTTCAGTCGCAAAGTATTTAAGGTTTTTAAGGAAAACATTCCAGTATTTTTCTCCATATAGTGGACTTCAGTGGTGCTCAATGGATTGAAGGTTAAAAAAGCAGTTTCAATGCAGCTTCAAAGGGCTCTACATGATCTCAGCCGAGGAATAAGGGTCTTATCTAGTGAAACAATCGGTCATTTTCTTAAAAAAATATATTTATACACTTTTTAACCACAAATGCTCTTCTTGTCAGTAGCCCCTCACTGCAGAACACATGATCCAGAGGGCGTGGTTGGATCCACATCTAGGGGGTGGAGATGGGTAGGTTTAGGGGTTGAGATGGGTGGGTTTAGGGATCAGGGGGTGGAGATGGGTAGGTTTAGGTATATGTAAGGTGGGAGGAGTTGGATCTGGATCCAACCACGCCCCCTGGATCTTGTGTTCTGCAGTGAGGACCATCTCCTTCTTGTCTAGCTCTGTCTGTGTACAACGGTTCAAGACAGGGTATGTCTAAACACTCCCAACACTTTTCTCCTCCAACTTCAAAATCGTCCTACATCGTTGTTTTACCTTTATTTTATTTATTTATTTATTTTGTAAAGGGTGTTTGACCCTCCTTGCACGTTCACTTTGTAAACACTGGGTCGGTGCTTCTGCAGCGATGTAGGATGATTTTGAAGTTGGAGGAGAAAATGATTTTGGAGTTTTCATGACTTGGAGTCGACTCTTTCTTTTGAAAGACAATAACTTTATACACGGTGCACTTTTAGATTTAAAACTTGGATGTTTTCATTCACCTAGAGCTGTGTTACACACTGCATGAAAGGTCATTTTCAAAAATCCATAATAGGGGCACTTTAAAATGTGGCCGAGAAGAAAAGCTCTCTTGCAAAATTAAAGGCCAAGTCTGAGGGTAAAATTAGCATAGAAGATTCATTTTGAAATCTCCTATCATGTTGTGTCTCGTCTCGTCTTGCAGTGAGTGGATTCTAACTTAAATACCTCTGATTGCGTTTAAGAAATCAACAGACATGCCTGTGGTTGGTTACATTGCTCAACGCTAAAGTAACATTGAAAACACTGGATCTCTTGTCATAAATGTTTTGGCAATATGCTATTATTACAGCTTCAATTGAGTGAGCTCTTGCTCTCTTTTGAGCTAGTGTAACTGTTGTAGGTCAGTAAGAGCTGTGCGTATAAATTTCACTCCCCTGACCTCCAGAGGTGCTCTAGCGCCCGCCTCCCATGCCGGAGACCACGGTTCGAATCCCGCTCGGAGCGGGGCGAGTAGGACCGGTTACATTTGGTGCCATGACCTGGATGGGAGTAAGGATTAGGGGGGAAGCCGCGAGCGCTGGTCACAACGAAAATACTTTGCATGCTTATTATTATTATTAGGGTAATCTGCAGGAAGCGCAAAAAGACAATTCTTGAATTGTGAGTTTATCAGTGCGCCATTCAGTCAGATAAAGAAAGAAGTTGTGGTCCTCTCCGATCTCATGAAAGTGCGTATCAATAGCACGAGTTTACATTTTGATTTGGCATACTATTTATACGCAGAAATTGACTTTGGCGTGCATATGATATGCAGTGGGTAGGATTAGGGTTGTGGAGTTGATGCGTATCATATGCATGCGAAAACTGCATATTATATGCACGTCAAACACGTGCCTATTATATGCACGCCAAAGTCAATTTCTGCATAGCAATAGCACGATTTTCTGTTTGTATTTGGCGTACTATTTATACGCATTTTCATGAGATGGGCTCAAAAAATATTCTTGTATTCTCGTATAACATTATGTTTGAACCACTGATGTCACATGGACTATTTTAACGATGTCCTTACTATGTTTCTGGACCTTGAACCTGGTAGTTCCGTTGCTGTCAATCAGAAAACTCTGGGACTTCATCAAAAACGAAGGTCATACGGGTTTGAAACGACATGAGGGTGAGTAATTAAAGGGATAGTTCACCCAAAAATTAAAATTCTGTGATTAATTACTCACCCTCATGTTGATCCGAACCTGTAAGACCTTCTTTCATCTTCGGAAGACAATTTAAGATATTTTTGCTGAAATCTGAGGGCTCTCTGACCCTCCCATAGACAGCAAGGGAACTACCACGTTCAAGGTCCAGAAAAATACCAAGATGATAGACAAAGTAGTCCATGTGACATCAGTAGTTCAACTGTAATGTTACGAAGCTAGGAGAACTACTGAGTCAACAAGTGACACAGTAGAGACGAAAATGTGGAATAAAGTCGTTATTTTTGTTTTCTTTGTGGTCTTACGGGTTTGGAACAACACCAGGGTGAATAATTTTGGGGTGAACTAAACCTTTAATGGCAGAATTTTCTAAAACTAAAACTACGAAAGACTCAAATGACTAAAATGTGACTAAGACTATTAAGCATTTTCGTCTCAAGATAAAGACTAAAATCAAAAATGCCTGTCAAAATTAACACTGTCTAGAATATGGTTTACCTTATTACTTCCCGAAAACTACTAAATGGACACAATGAATGGATAAAGTGCAAAAGATTGATAAATACAAGTGTTTGATTTGGATGTTACTATTGGCATTATCTTATGAAAAGAGAAACTGATTACTCTTGTCTGTTCTTTTGTTAATAAAACTCCTTTTATTACACCTGTCTTCCTTGTGTTGATAAAACAGTAAGAGGCTCTACAAGGCTATCTTACATTGAAATCACTACATAACACATTATTGCAATTAAGTTCATATTTCAAAGAGAAGACCATTAGGAAATTACAACAGTTGCACATTATTTTATCTAATTATCTCATTATTTAATCTTTGTTAATGATCAAGGACTAGCTATGCAATGCACAAGTGATCTACTGGCATATATTTTACTTGTTAATTTCATGTAAGTGCCAAAATACACTCTTTCTAGCTAAGATTAGTCTACTAACAACAACATATACTAATATCACATACTAAAACTAGAACAAATAGTCAATTCTAGAGACTGCGTTTAATGTCAACCAAAAGAAGCACATTGTTAGTCAAAAGTTAAATGTTTACATTTCTACTGTGTGGTAATAGCAGACGACCACTAGTTTATATAGTTCCCCTACAGACTGCAATGTGAAAGTAAGTACTGAGTAAAAAACAAACAAAACCCCTGTCAAAATCAAATGACCTAAAACAGGACATTGCTGCCACCTGTAGACGTGAGGGCTTTGTGTAAAGCAGTGTGACTATGAGCTGCTTTCACTTTCACTATGACTTACTATGTAAACACTTACATCTAAGCTTCTGGATATGTATTATGTATATGGCAAAGTAGAAGAAACACTGGTAAGGTATTATGTTGAATAATAGTAATGTTTCTATTCTCATGACAATAGACAAAAATAATTTTACTTTTTTTATTATTATTTGAGAAAAGCTCATGTACATAAAAAAAATGAACAGACTCTGTTGCACACTTCCTCCAAGGAGTCAAAGAATAATAATACAGCACCTTTTTGGCATACGTCAAAAATAATAAGGCAATAAGAACTTTAAATGTTTTTGTTGAATCTGGACTACTTGATCACAGATCAGATGCAATGACTGTACACTGTGGCTGTTGTTTGTATTTTTGTACGTTTCATAGCTTTTTTAACAAACACAAATAAATAACAGCTTGCTCACATGCACCTTTTCTGGCACACCTGTTTGTGACTAGAAGGTAATATTTCATTGCACTCTCATGTTTGTTGCTCTTTTAACTCTTTAATGTATGTGTAATTGTGTTTTTGTTGTTCTTTTGTATTAAATATCTCTTCAGCAATCAGTAAATCAAGGTTAATGCTTTTTTTCTTTACATCTACAAATGTTTCAGACTTTTTTTTTCAGTAATGGATGTGACATGGAATTATTCAAACCTTGTGTCTTAACCAGCAGGCCTGAGGCACCACAAATTGGGCACCACAGTTCATAAAGTGCTGACAAAAACTTAACACATAAAAAAAGAGAGACTAACACTGAGTAAGGGAGACATTTCATAGGCTTACAATCGATGAAAAAAAAAAATGACTGGAGAACTTTGATGGCATATTTTGGCCTATGGTTTGCAGTATCTGAGAGTAGCAGTGCATACCCGGGATCTGTTTTTCCTTAAGAGTCTGATCTTAGTCAAGGTATGACTGAGTGACCAACACTTAACACATTCACAGGTATTCTTTGAACAAATCACAGCTCAGAGATTTGTGGCACGCTTCTCTGTCTAAACTGTCCTGATCTTAATCTGTTCTTTGTGGCTTATGTCATTTTATGAATACAGTTATGCAGAGGATGGGCACTGACCACAGAACAGCACATTTACTCTGAGATGCTCATTTCACATAGGCCCAGATCTTATCCTTAAGTGAGGCAAATCTTTAGCCTAAGATGAGAGAGGATTTGCCCCCTGGTGGGTTTCTACGGCCAGAAGGAACCCCAGCTGCAGGCTGTTCTGTTGCAGAGAGGCAAGGTGGAGCTGGTGTGTCATCCTGCTCCTGAATAGGTTCTGTGAATATAAAAATGAAAAAGAAATATTAATGAATTATCAGATAATTACAAAAAAAAAAAACATTAAAAATATATGGAAAGAAAATGTTTTTTTCTGTTTTATACTACTGTATGTTATTGATCCATTTGTCACAAGGGTGAGATTAAAGGCTGGAATACACTACACAAGTTTTGCCCTGACTTTCCCCCTGTTTAGAGTTTGGATAAATCAAAACTAGATGCCAAAAGTCAGAGTCAGTCTGCAGATTTGAGTTGACAGATTTCATAGAAAATTTCATAATGTATGATGGTCACAGACTCCATTTATTAGTATCAGACTATGAATCCATCCAGTCGGAGGATATCAAACATGTTTGATATTTTCAGCCGATTTTAGAACACTTTTATATGACTATTGTTTTCATTTGTCACACATCTCTTAGCAACAAGGTGCATGTTTCTGTGTGAATCTGTGATCAGAACAAATTTAAAGTCAGGTTGTGTATGATCCTCAGTCGTGTAGTGTATGATGCCCAGTTTTTCTTCTGTGACTATCTACAAAGTCTGTAAGTGTATGATGCCTAATGTTTTAAAATCTGTTGAGATTTTAAAAGTTGGTAGTGTATTCCACCCTTAAGTAAAAATGATCCAAATCTAAAGTATTTTTAGAAATATAGAAAACATCTAGAACGTGCCGAGATCTTAAAAATATACTCATTGTATTCATGTTGAACCTTGAATACGTATGTACACATCTTAGTTATTATTTTCAAATATGTATATATTTAATTTTTAATATAATATAAAGGGTTTTTTTTGCAATTATATTAATATTATTATTCTTGGGGAGGGACATTTTACAACCTGAACTAGCGTTGCTTTGTCATAAAAAGATCATAGATAATATTTTAAGAAAAAAGCGTCCACACGCTTCTGCATGTTAGTTTACATGACTTTTGATATGACAGTATCACCTTGACATTTTTTTCTTTATGCCCTCCAAAAATTATCAAAATGAAATAAAAACTAATAACAAACTCAAGATGTGTATTCAAGACATCTATATATAATTTTTTTTTAATGAAAAAAAAAGTGTAATGTCAAATATATGTCAGAACACTCACCAACAGTGATTGAGTCTTCCTCACCATTCTGTGCAGAAAATAAAGCACATTCTCAGCAATAATTTAAAAAAAAAACTTCATAAGTCAGTATGAAAGTCCATCCAAGGTTACAAGTTTTTTTTCACTCAGTAATGAAATTGTCTCCATATCTTACCACGGGTACGTTATTTTCGACTGTGGTGTTACTTTGGTTGGCTGGTTGAGCAGTACATCTTCTGAGAGGGGCAGATGGTTCTCCACACAACACACCTGTAGGCTTCCCACCTTTGAAACAAATGAAAGTTCATGTACATTGATGTTATAAATAATAGTGAATACCCAGATTAGGGCTGCACGATAAATCGCATGCGATATTTAACGCGCATCTTGTCAGTAAAGCCATTCTGTAATCAGCGGTAAATCTCCATCACCTGCGGGCTTTCACATGGAGCAGCATTAACTACACAAAGCCGTTGTTCACCGACAAGCTGCGCAAAACATGTGCAAAATATGATTGTGGTTTTGCGCAGCTTGTCAGTGAACAACGGCTCTGTGTAGTTAATGCTGCTCCATGTGAAAGCCCGCAGGTGATGGAGATTTACCGCTGATTACAGAATGGCTTTACTGACAAGATGCGCGTTAAATATCGCATGCGATATATCGTGCAGCCCTAACCCAGATGTTCAAGCTATAAGTTGTATTTTGTTCACTGTTATACATAAAATACACTTAAGTAATTATTACTTTACCCGAAGGACAGCTATATCACAAACTGCATTCTTTGACTTGCAAATAATAAATGTTATTGTGAGGTAGTGTTTTTTAGAAAAACACATGGAATGATCTGAAATTCTTATCTCACATGGCAACCTGTGAACCTATGCTACAAAATGTACATAAAAACAGCAAACATTAGCTGAGATTCAGCAATGTAAGCACATTGTACAGTCTTTTGTGTGTTGAAGAATCAGCAAGACCTAGCAAGTTTTCAGATGTGGAACTGAAACTGTATTTGGTTTGTCAATATCACAAGTTACCAGTTGTTTATCTCTGAAAGGTATGAGATTTGAAGCAGTACATACACATACACAATCATTAAAATATTTCTCATCCTTTTCTCTAATGTTTCACCAACTTAAACGCAAGGGAATGACACAGCCTAGAAGTATGCTATTATAGAGGTGAAAGATGAGATATCATTCCAAAAAAAAAAAATCAGCACCTGGTGGATTGTTCCTTCGATGTGCATGAGGGTCCTCAGGTTCGGCAAATATACTAGATGCCATTTTATTTTTTTTCACAGGTTTCTCTTCATCTGTGCCAAAGCAGATGTTTGAACCTCCACCTGGTGGACGCAGCACTCTAGGAAGGAAAACAAATACAAAATATGTTGTCAAAAATGTAACTTTTGTAACTGTCACACCCTTGGATTGTTGTGTTGTGTTTTCATTCCCCATGTGTTCAGTGTGATCCAGTTTTTCCCCATGTCTGATTATGTTAGTCAGTACACCTGTGTCTTCATTAGTTGATCCTCCTCACCTGTCTGTCCCTCATTAGCACCCCTACTTTAGTTCCAGTCTGTCCTGTGTTCCGCTGTCCGGTCTACTAAGTCCATACGTGTGTTTCCTGCCTGTCTGTTTTGGAATTACCCTCTTGTGTATTAATTAAAGACTGTTTGCAGTGCTCATCATCTTCCTCGTGCGTTTCATTCCACCGTAGCGTGACAGAAGACCGGACCTGATTAAGTGATTATACGCGGCGTGTTATCCCCACGTTTTGGTTTTGTTTTGAAAGGTTTTTCTTTTGGTTTTTTCGTTATGGAGTGGGCAGCAAAGTTTTCAGCTGTGGCTCGGGAGAGCCACGATCTGGTTTCGTTTGCCCCGAGTTTCACCCGTCTTGCCGTCACGTCCCCATTTGATGACGAGACCATGAAGTCTCTGTTCCGGATCGAGGTGAATTACCATCACCCCGTGGACCTCCCAGACACCATCGAACTGAACTGGAGGAAGGCCATGTTTCAGTGAATGGAGAGCGTCCTACCCTGATCCGGAACACAACAGGACCCAGAGCCCAGCCCACCATCATCCCGCTGCGCGGAGCAAGAGCCTGAGCTCACTGCAGACGGAGAGCCAGAGCCCAGCACGACCTACGAGCCATCGCAGGAAGCAGCGACAGAGCCAAGGATCGCCCCAGAGCCTATCACGTCCAACCAGGTGCGAGAACCGGCTACATCGCACGCGACGGTGGATGTTACAGTGGAGCGTGAGGGTGCTGAGGATAGCGCCGCACACTGCACCGCCGCTGAGGGTGAGCTGTCACTGAACTCTTAGGACAATGTGGATATATATGCAGACATGCCCCCTCTTCTCCCACCTTCGTCAGAACTCTCTGTCTGCCCTGATCTGTCTGCCTGTCCTGAAACGACCACGGAGGTCGTTCCCCTGTCCATCGCGCTCCCATGGTTGGGAGTCGTGATGTGGTGTGTGTGTGTGGGCGGCACACACCATCCCTGAACCCTCTACCTGTCTGGATTTCCCACCCACCCTCCCTCTCCTGCCTCCTCCTGTCATCCCTGCTTCAGCTCTGCCACCGCTTCTTCCTGTCAGCCCCTCAGCTCCCCCTCAGCCCTCTATCTGTGCGGTGGGACCACCATGGCTCCTAGCTCCCTCCTCTCCACTGTTGCCCGTCAGTCCACCAGCTCCGCCAGGCTCCCTCGTCCCTCCGGCTCCGCCTTGGTCAGTCGTCGACCATCCGCCGCCTCGGGACTCCAGTCCTCCGGCTACACCTCATCCCTCCATCCCTCTGGCTCCATCAGGCTCCTCCTTCCCTCCGGCTCCACCTTGGTCCTCTGTCGCTCCGGCTCCACCACAGCCTTCCGGATCCCCGCCTCGGTCGCCAGAGCCATCTGCTCGGCCTTGACCCTCCGGATCCTCCCCGTCACCCTGGCTCTTCGGCTCTCCGCCTTGGGCTCCACCACCACCTGCTCCGCCGCCGTCGGTCGGCCCCCTGGAGCCGTCAGCCCTTCCTCCACCATGGCTCCTGCCTCCGTCGGCTCCACCGTGGGCCGCCATCCTGGCTGGGATCTGGGTCCCGCCTGGCTCCTCTGGCTCCATCCGGTCTTCTCCATGGCTCCTCCCTCCATCTCATCGGCCCTGGTCTTCTGCATCCCTTCCTGCCTGCCCTTCGCCACCGCCTTGTCCCCAGCCCAAACCCCCTCCCATCCTCCTTTATCCGTCCTGCCTGGGCGCGAGGCCACGCCTTCGGGGAGGGGGGAATACTGTCACACCCTTGGACTGTTGTGTTGTGTTTTCATTCCCCATGTGCTCAGTGTGACCCAGTTTTTCCCCATGTCTGATTATGTTAGTCAGTACACCTGTGTCTTCATTAGTTGATCTTTCTCACCTGTCTCTCCCTCATTAGCACCCCTACTTTAGTTCCAGTCTGTCCTGTGTTCCGCTGTTCGGTCTACTAAGTCCATACATATGTTTCCTGCCTGTCTGTTTTGCAATTACCCTCTTGTGGATTAAAGACTGTTTGCATTGCTCATCATCTTCCTTGTGCGTTTCATTCCACTGTAGCGTGACAGTAATTGATCACTAGTTTATGAGTAGAGTTGATGCACCTTGTTTACTTTTATTTTAAGTTCATTGCTTTTTTTTTGATGGTTTAGCCTACTGTTCATTCCCTGTCAGCTTGCCCAATGAAGGGTAAATAAAAAAAAACATTTTTTTATGAAATATATTCGAGTCTCCATCTCATGTAAGCATCATATTTTATTTTAATTTATGATTATATAATTCTCAAATGTCATTTTAATCTCTTTACGGGTAGAAGGTTGAGTAAAATTAATAGCTACTGAGTGCACATTTAAGGAAAAAAAACATTGTGGCTTTAGTAGAGAGAAAATAAAATTAGTTTGGGTGGGGGTTAACCATCTTTTCATCTAAATATAATTGTGCAGAAAAAGGCTTGATAGGCTATATAGTTTAATATATCCTAATTCCTCATGTACCTGTATTGTTTGGTTTAATTAGTTTTATTAGCTTATTAATTATATTCTGTTAATCAAAATATTCATCATACTGTTCATAAAGCCTTAATGAACTGAGCTAAAACGGCAAACTGAAATAAATCTCCCTCCACCAGTGTGACTAACAGATGAAACGACAGATAAACGGTGACGAATTCACTAATCTGCACGTCATTAGTGCATTCAGTTAATAAAATTAAAAAACGGATACAACAGGAAGCGTAATAAAATTCTTTACTACACCAACTGAACCGCACCCAACCAAAATACACACACATGCGCTCAAGCATCCTCCCGTTCTCTGAAAACCTGGACAGGGACTGGTTTCACATTTACAAACGACTGACATAATGCATTAAAAATGCTGTATTAATTACTCATCAATTATGTAATTAATTATGGGTTTCCGTTTGAGGATGCTGCAGTCAATTGAGGCCGCGTCACAAAGCCTTGCGTGTTACCTGCCTAGACAGCATTTTGGAGCATTATAATACACATCTAGCTGACTTGAAAAGCGATGCCTCAAACATGCAGCACGCTTCTGACATCACCCAGAAAGATGTCTATAGGCAGCTAACCAGATTTTCAGACACTGCCGGAGGGATGCGCATATAAGTACAATAAAACAGGCATTTTATAAACCAGAAAATGCTGCTTTGAAGGGCTTATAAAATCCAATAAACTTTTTCCTTTGAGCTAGTGCGTACCATTTTATCCCAAAACGCAGCATTTGTACCCAAGATGGTGCTCATTTCTCATCAGCATCGCCACCCGTTTTTACGCCAATATCGTTTAGCTAGAGAGTAATTTCGTCTTTTGCCAGTAGGCTAATATTACATCTCAGATAACGTCTTTAGACATCACAACGGTTAAATAATTTGCTGTTTGCTACAACCTAAAGCGCGTGAGCATTGTTATCTTCCTATTAGACATCTATCAGCACCTGGAGCTGCTCCTCGCGGTCGGGTCCATGCCTTGGAAATTGGTGGTGGTCGTCATCTTGAACATTTAAAGCTTCTGTTCACGGCTTTTCCCAAGCTATATTCGACAGATTATTGTCATCAAGTCTCAAAGAGCGTCTCCTGCTCAGGTCATCAGTCTCTGGTGCCGAATCTGCGCTCCTGTACACGCCCATTAGACGCGATTAGTGCTGCACTTCTGCAGATTCGCCTCTGGGGCGGCGCCAGACAGCAAACTGTTTTTGTGAACTCTTGAAAAGTTTAGATTTTAGTTTAGATTCTAAACTACCGCGGCTGTATTTTCACAAAAACAGTTTCTTCTATAGTTTTGTATGAGTCCTTCAGTTGTCGACAGGTTTTATTCTAAAAACAAACTATAAAAAAATGTGCAAACTATTGCTCAAGACGGCAAACACGATGATCATGGTAAATTGCATTATTCTATCTTCTGGGTAATACTGAAGTATCTAATGCAGAATCAAAATTAATCTCTGCTGGGAAGAGAAAAAAAGTCAAACAATATGCCGGAAAAAAGGCAAACGATATGCCGGACCTGGAGGATTTTTCCTGAAGAACAGCGGGCGATTTAAACTGCTCAGGACAAACACGACACTCATGAACCACCACCAAAAACATTAATCATCTATGTAATAATAAAATCATTACCTTTTTGAATTTCAAATATTATAACTTAAATATTGTAGCATGTTCAAGCATGTTGTGTTATAGATAACAATGTGCTTAATGTTAGTGTTGCACTGTATTCTTTTTTGTGTTGCGAACTGTTATTGGATGTTCGAGTTGGATGTGAAAAGAGGCTCCGCCCCTGTGTGTGGTAAGGGGAAAGAGAGAGAAGGAGGGGGGGAAGGAGTGCCTCGCTGGTTCAAGTGCGGTTCTTAGAAGTCGGGGTTGTGGCCGACAACATCCCAAATAAACACCCCTTGTACATCAAAACGCCTCGTCCTTGTCTGAGAACGCTACAATATGTAGCCTACCGTTGTGCTCAAAATTATTCATACCCTTGCTAAATACGATCTAAGGCAGCCCTGAAAATAAGTCCGCATTGTTTATCCATTTGATCTTTCAATAATTATTTTTTTTTTATCTAACCTTTAATTGAAGTTTAAAAAAAAACGTGAAAGTGGGGGGAAATCACATTATGAAACATTTTTTCTCTAATACACAATGGCCACAATTGTTGGTACCCCTAGAAATTCTTATGATTAAAATATCTCTGAAGTATATTTCCATTCATATTTGCATTTTATATTACACCAGGGCTGCGTTCAGCCCCGACAAAAACGGTGCAAAACGTTGTTTAAACGGAAACGATGGTGCGTTGAACACCCTGTTCTGATGACGCAAGAGTTGCAACTATAGCAGCTGAGAAGGCCATTCTTTGTGTTCTTTTTGAAGACTAGGAACATGAAATTATCCAGCAATGGCTTCCTGTTTCAAATGAATATAAATATGAGGAACACAAAGGTCAAATTCCCTTAATCATTGATCACAATGAGTAAAATCAAATAATATATTTCTGATGTGCAGCAAAAATTGTTGAACTTCACAAAATAGAAAGTGGCTGTAAGAAAAGAGCCAAAGCATTTAAAATTCCCATTTCCATCACCAGGGCAATAATTAAGAGGTTCCAATCAACTAAAGATGTTACAATCTGCCTGGAAGAGGCCGTGTGTCTATTTTTTCTTAATGCACGGTGAGGAGGAAAGTTTGAGTGGCCAAAGACTCTCCCAAGGATCACAGCTGGAGAACTGCAGAAAATTGTTGAATCTCGGGTCAGAAAGCCTTAAAAAAAAAATCAAAAATCAAACAGCCCCTACATCCCCAAACGTTGTTTGGGAGGGTTTAAAGAAAAATCTAGACTCTTTTGTTCAGACAGACAGCAGTGGATTCTATCAAATACCAACAGATAAAAAATTAAAAACCAACTGTCCATGCTAGAAATCTTATAATGGGCCGTGGTTGGATCTTCCAACAGGACAATAATCCAAAAACAAACATCAAAATCAAAAATATTCTGCCAGGGCCATTCCAGTCCCCTGACCTGAACCCTATAGAACTTTTTAACAGCAAACACTCAAGATGGGTTTGGTGCGCACATGAGTAAATAGGTGCCCCATGTGTACAATGAAATATACTGCTGTATCTTCAATGTTGTGGGCCTATTTTACTGCCAGAGATACTGGATATTTTGTTCAGACAGACAGCAGTGGATTCTATCAAATACCAACAGATAAAAAATTAAAAACCAACTGTCCATGCTAGAAATCTTATAATGGGCCGTGGTTGGATCTTCCAACAGGACAATAATCCAAAAACAAACATCAAAACTAAAATGGGTCACTGAGCACAAAACAAATATTCTGCCATGGCCATTCCAGTCCCCTGACCTGAACCCTATAGAAAATGAGTGTGGTGAACTGAAGAGAAGCACCACCAACATGGAGCTGGGAATCTGAAGGGTCTGGAGAGGTTCTGGATGAAGGAATGGTCTCTGATCTCTTGTCAGGTGTTCTCCAAACTCTTCAGGCATTATAAGAGAAAATTCATAGCTGTTATCTTGGGAAAAGGAGGTTGCAAAAAGTATTGAATAAAGGGTATGATTAATTGTGGTCAATGTGCATTAGAGAAAAATATTTATTTTTACTATGAGATTTTCCCTCCATTTTAAATTCTTATTCTCCAATGAAAGTTTAGGTTTTTCAAATTTTAAAAAATAAAAGATCAAGAGGATTAATGATACAGATTTATTTTCACAGCAGCATTTGATCATATTTACCAAGGGTGTGAATCATTTTGAGCACAACTATATATATTTAACATAAATCGTTTTTGCAAATATTATGAAATATTTTTAATCAATATATTTATTATATTAATATTATTCTTGGGGACTGGGGAGGGACATTTTATAAACTGAACTAGCTTTGTTTCGTCAAAAAAAAGAGGTCAAATTAATGGATTTTTTTGTTTTGTGGACTATATGTAAACTTTTTTTTTTTGTGACAGCTTATTTAGTGCAACACTAAATCAATATTTTTTTATGAGCCCTTTTTTGTTACATTTTTTGGATTTGTAAACCACAACTGCTGTTAGTTCCATTAAGGGAAATAATAAATGAGTTATAAAAACAATGGGCCTCATTCATGAAACATTCATAAATATAGGAGTAAATTCTGAGTAATTTGCGCGTAAATCTGACCTTCCCGAAAACTCTCCTCCGAATTCACAAGCACTTCGTACACATCAGTTATGATAGTTCAGGGCTGCCCAAACTCGGTCCTGGATTGCCGGTGTCCTGCAGAGTTTAGCTCCAGCTTGCCTCAACACACCTGCCTGGAAGTTTCTAGTATGCCTAGAAAGACCTTGATTAGCTGGTTCAGGTGTGTTTCATTAGGGTTGGAGCTAAACTCTGCAGGACACCGGCCCTCCAGGACCGAGTTTGGGCACCCCTGTGATAGTTAAACACAGGGGTGTCCAAACTCGGTCCTGGAGGGCCGGTGTCCTGAGAGAACGCTTTGGTGGCACAGTGTTTTTCTAGCCGAGACGTTTTGGTTGCTATGATTTGAAATAATCACGGTAGAAACGTATTACTAGTTTCTCATTTTTAAGAACATTACGGAATATAAAAATGCAGTAACCAGCAATATTAACTTCTCTATTGTTGTTCACTAAAATATTATAATGGCAGTGCATGAAATTCAGTGTCATCAGTTTGCCAAAATGAACAACACGTTTTACGCACCATTTACACGTGGTAGGGAGCAGGTGTAAATTTCTTTCCTACCAACTAACATTTTGAAAATACGAACATTTTCATGAATTCGAAAGTTTACGTCAGAACGGCTTTACGAACGATTTACACAAATTCGTTCTGCTAGTGTTTCATGAATGAGGCCCATTGATTAAAATTTAAAAGCAACAAAAGATCCACCTCAAACGGTTTTGTAAAACCGTTTTATTCCAACAAAATCTTATTAACATTTCATTTCACAACACAAGTTACTGAATAAAATTGGCCTGAGTTCAAAAGAGAAATACATCAACATATATAAAATATATATAAAAAGCCCAATGGCTCAGAGCAAACAAAACAGTACTTGAGCACTGACACTGACCAAAATTCTATCTACCAAACCAAAAAAAAAGATCTGATCACTGATCAAAATCATTTTAGTCTTGACACTCTTAGGTCCACATCTGATGAAATACATCAATATGTTTACAACATCATTCATCTGATTTGCGAGAGCTGATGGGCATTTTAGGCAAGCTTCTGGCAATGAGGAGGGAGGTCAGCCTAATCTTATAAAGAGAAAAAGGACAGGAAACAGGGAGGACTGTGATGGTGGGCAGAGGTAGTCATTTACATCAGGCCCCCTGTCTGTTGCTGAAATACATCAATTGTATCCTCGTCCTCCATTTCCAACTGAAAATAAAAAAAATTAAAAAAGAAATAAGACTTTATAGCACACTTAAAGGATGGTGACATTCAGAACTGGACATATCAGTGAACTATACCTGAGCAGGAGTGTCCGTCTCATTAATTGGCTGCCCATCAAACCGGAACCGAATCTGCCGCATTGTTAGCCCCTGTTCAAAACAGAGAAAATGTGGACCTGAGCTTTAAGTGAAGTGTAAACTATAGCATTACCTCCAGCATGTCTTCCAAAATGCAGTCAGTGACCCCTCAACAATTCATGTATTGTATAGAATGTCTGGCTTCGGAATGACAGGGCCTAATTCTAACATTAAAAACATCTTAAAACAGGGATGTCCAACCTTGCTCCTGAAAAGCTAGCATCCTGCAGACTTCAGTTCCAACCCTGCTCCAACACACCTGCCTGTAATTATCAAGAAACCCTGAACACCTTTAGCTGGTTCAGGTGTGTTTGATTGGGGTTGAAACTGAAATCTGCAGGACAGGAGCTGTCACGGAGCAGGGCTGGAGATCCCGGTCTTGAAAACAACACTCTCAAACTTGGACAGATCTTGAATGCCTCTGAATTTACATTTATACCAAATTGCCAACTATTTTCAATAATTCACCTTTTCGTTCTCTGTACTTATAACTGATGACCTTCAACATTTTACCACAACGGATGAAGACAACTTCCTGTTCTAAGCTCAAGAACATGTTTTCACTTATACACTTCCTG